AAAAAAAAAAATCGATTTTTTCAAATTTCTAGACTAGTATACCCCCTTAAAGGCGAAGGAAAAACGATGTAATAGAAAAAACTCAKATTGAAACAAAATTTTATATTTGGTTATAAAATGGTTATATCGTTTCACAAAAAAATTAAATTGATATAAAAAATTATTGTTATGTAATTATATCAATGCCTAATTATAACTCATTAACTTAAGTAAATGTTTACCACGCAGCCACATTTATGTCCACGTGTATAATAAAATTACACTTATGTATATCATATCTGTATGTAGCTGCATATTTTATCAATATCTTATAATTATAGCTGTGTATGTATGCTTTTATTTTTATTTAATTTAATTTTTTACTTAAATATGCGTTTAGCATTTTTCTATTTTATGTTCGTATTTCCACTTATTAACTCACTTCACACACACACTGCCACTGAAGAGACGGTATAACACGCTCTTAGTTACGCGCTCACATCTAACTCTTACGCTCTTTCGATAGATAATAGCGGAGATAGTTTATTTACTATTTTAAGTATTTACTTTTATGTTTTAATTTAATATGTACAAAATGTGGGTAGAGAAAATTTTCTTTGTTGGTTGAAAAATAAATTAAAATAATAAAAATGAAATAAATGAGRAAGCGTATGACAAAATCGATAAAGACGGTGAATATCTTATGGGGGCGCTATTTTTAGTTGGTACGCATGTGTGTGTGTACGAGTAAAGGTAATTATTTACAATAGAATATTTGAAATATATGTATAAATATGTATGTATGTATGTATATGTGTTGCCAATGATATATGTGGATAAAAAATGTATAAAATAAATGTATTAAAAAAAAGTTTAAACAATTTATAAAAAAACAAAATTTAGAATTTCTTTTTTTTTTTAATATTTTTGAAAGCTAACCTTTAAATTGTTTGACATCGCCGCTAGAAGAACTTAAAATAAACATTTTCTATCTTTAAATGGAAATTTCCGAAAGCATAAAGGATTACGAAAAAATTTCCTTCGCAAACAATTCCTCTTTATTGGCGTTGACACCGCTTACTATATATGTACATGTGTACATATATAACATATACATATGTACATGTGTACATATATAACATATATGTACATGTGTACATATATAACATATATGTACATGTGTACATATTTAACATATATGTACATGTGTACATATATAACCGAGTTATAGTCAAGTTAACAACAGCGCGCCAATCGTTCTTCTTGTTTGGCGCTAATTGGAGATTCCAAGTGTAGCCATCRGGTCCTTCTCCACTCAGTCCAGTCCATTCGGACGACATGACCTAACCAGCATAGCTGCTGTCTCTTAATTCGCTGAACTATATTAAAGTCGTCGCAAACAATTACAATAAAAAAAATTAAATAATATTAAAAACAAAAACTGAAAAGTATGGTTATACATATGTATATACTCTTACCGTATACACATGAATATTATATACGCAGGGAAACCGGGTAATAATCCAATAGCCAAACGTGGAGTCATATCGCCCACCAGACGTTGCAGAATTTTATCGAGATCTTCACTGCGGAACTTCATGACACCTAAAAGACAAAGAAAATGTAGTTATTTAGTTTCTTAATAAAAAAATAAATAAAATTATAAAAATAACACATTAATCACACACAAAAAATCACATAAATGTATTCACCTTGATAATTTTGTATCTTCTGCTTGCTCACATTAGTCACAGCCTTTTTATCATTTTCTTTGCTATTACCATCTTGAGGAATGCCGTGCTCCTTTAGTTTGAACATTAGCTTGTCATTACCCTGTTTTAGCGCCTCAAATTTGCRAGTCATGGCATTCATTTCCTCCTACATGGAGTTTAAAAATATCATATTAAATATGCGCGCSCAGGCAGAGCGTTTTGTTTTTGTTACACACCTGTAGCTGTGAATATTGCAATACCGAACGTTGCAACTCGTAACGSAGATACCGTTCACTCTGACGCAATGCCTCAATATTGCTTTCAACGCTTTGCTCCAGTCCATTATGTAGCAGTTCCTGTAGTTGTGTCTTTTCGTGACGCAAATCATCAATTTGTCGTGTGAGATCGGCGAGATGTGCGTTATTCTCTTCGGTTAAAGCGCTCAACTCGGATTCCAATTGTCTGCAAATAAAGTAACAATAAGAATAATTAATMTTTCAAACTGCTATTTGAGAAGATTTAAAGTTTAAAGCAGTAGTTTTTTATACATGAAATCTCTACGGTTACGATCACATTTCGCAAATTTTAAATAATATTACATTTTTTGCAATATTTTTCAGTTTAAAAAAGAATTCAGCTAAATTGCATTTTTGGCACCTAACCTAGAAAAGTTTCCGATGGTACGTACTATGGCATTGTATGGAGTTCATCAAAAAGTCGGAAAATAAGTTTTAGACTAAATATATACTGTTGGCGTCGTCTCTAAATAAAAGCAGCAGCGGAAATTTACTGTCAAAGATTCCACGTTCCTATAGATTGTGTATGCGGCATACCTAAATAAACGCGGCAACACTGTGAGTTGAAAAGTTCGAATTTGACAGCGCTTTAAAAAGTAATTTTTGTAATTCTTCTTACAAATTTCATGATATTTAATATTTGTACAAATGAATGAAAATATTCTTACTAAATTAATTCGTTTTGCATTTTACTTTGTACTAATTTTATAATTAACACTCTGCTCAACGCGTTTATTTAGGTATGCCAGTTAGTTGAAAAACAATTTAACCTGCTATGGTATTCAGAACGTTTTTGAAACCATTTCAACATACATTTATGAGAGTTGCCAAGAAAAAAAAAATACCAAACTCCGAAATCGGTTGTCAAATGTAGCATATGACAAGTGGATATTGAACAGCTTGCAGGATATTTTCACCTGCCATGTATGCATTTAGTTTAGCAWTGGTGTTTTTGTTGTAGTACAGAGATGAACAATCGCCAGAAAGAGTTGTCATGCAAATAATTTATGTGGCGAACAAAATGCTTCTTTTTTGTAAACAGTAAATATCAAGCAGGTTTTTCAAGCCCAAACTGTCAGAACTAACGTCAATAATAAATTGTCAATAAATTGTAATTTGCGAAATTTTTGTTGCAAAGTAATTTTGCACACAATAAAGAAAATTATATGATTTTACGGCCTTCTTCGAGAAACTGAATATTTCTTTTTTTTATAAATTTTGAAGAGTTTTCGTAATTTGTGTCTAGTTAAARTAGTATATTACATTTTTATACTTCACAAGTCGCTTACCGATTGACCAGCTTCTGTGCTTGGAAAGCCTCGATCAATTCATTATCATTCAAATTCTTCAAATCCACGCCACGCAACGAAACGCCTGTGGTACCGAATGACTTCAACGATTGACTCTGCTGTTGCAGAACAGCTTTTAGCTGGATGCACTCATCACGACGACGTCGGAGTTCCTCTTGCAGCGCTTGATATTGAGCTGAAATTACAATACCACATTTATTTSAAACTTGTTTATTYTAGGAAATATCTTAGATTTCCCGCTACACTTGGTTAAGACATTAGTTAACACAATACTAATGGTTTTACCTTCTAATTCGTTCATTTCGGAGCCATGATTGATGCTGCTSCGCAAGAGATCATAGTCGCTGCGTAGTTTCTCATTCTCCACCTCCAGTTCGGAAACGCTGAATATGTGTAATATAAAAAAATGTTATTTTTAAATTTAAAACAATATGCTTCTTCTTTTTTTTTACCGTATAGAGTCTTCTGTTTGATTATTTCGCTTCATTAGCCGCTCCAATTGTTCAGTCAACTGTTTATTTTTCTTTTTCTCTTCTTCGAGTATGCTGCGCAATTTCAAAATCAGACTCGTTTGACCCGATTTCGGCGTTGACGTAGTTTCTGTAAGTATTTAGTTCAGTATTAGGCATATAAGTGCTATTTAAATATATGGAATGTATTTACCGATTGTCGTAAAGGTTTCCGGTGATATTTGATTGGCATTCTCTCCACCTTGATGGCGTCGCAGTTCGAGCGTATTCTTGGCGGAAACATAGCCGACGTCGTCTTCATTTTGACTCGAAGCATTACTAACCGAACGTGAATGTTGATTATTATCTCGTGTGCCATTCGGTTTCTGATGGCGACTCAACTCCTCTTTCAGCATGTAATTTTCATTTTCTATAATCTCTTTTTCTTTAATTGCACGCTGGTAGGCCTCATTAATTTCGTAGGTTTCAACTTCAGAAAATGTACGTTCCATACGCGAATTGGTATTCATTTCAGCATTCTTCGCCATTTCGATCATTTGATCGATCTGCTTGCGCAATTCGATATTTTCCATGCGCCAAACCTGTTTTTGTTGCACCCAATCCTCCTCAGAGTGATCTTTCTCCTCGAGTAATTGCATTTTTTCATCACGTTCAGTTTCCAATTGCTTATTCAATGCCGCCAAATTGTTATCCTTTTCAGCGACGATCGATTTCAGATTACGCACTTCAAGTTCCAGGGATTTCTTCACTTCAAGTTTCATTCTGAAAATTAMAAAGTGTTATATAAGCTCATATAAAATTTTTGAAAAATGCTTACTTTAATACGGAAATTTCGCTTGACTTCGACTTCAAGCTAACATTCTCGCGATTCAGCTCGTCAATCTTCTGTTGCATTGATATGATCTTGTTTTCGAGACCTTTGTACATTTTCTGTATATGCGAAATGGTTTTCGCTTCTGCCTTCAATCGCTTGAATTGACGACGCGCCAGGAAACGCCGCACCGCCGACTGGCAGACAATGATAGCGCGTCGTTTCTTCTGATAGGCRCGTCTCGCCAAGTAGCCGCGTATGAAGCGTTGTATTTGCACAGCGCGATAGTGATCCATGGCGGCYTGGAAGCGTTGACGTGCCAGCATACCACGYGCATACTGTTGTATGCCACAAATTGTGTGACGCAGTCGCAGGTAACGTCGACGGCACAACCAACCGCGCGCATATTTCGATATGACAACAGCCGCATGCTCTTCCCGCATTTGTTGCGCTTTCTGGCGAGCCAAATARCCGCGCGCATAACGTTGTATACCGAGCGCCGTCCGCTGCAAACGCTGAAACCGTCGCCGCTGTATAAAACGACGCACCACCGACTGTATGATCGTTATGTATTTCTTGCGCAAATTCGCGCGCACCTGTTCCAGATAGGCTACCTGRCCGGCCCGAAAGAATATTTGCGTATTGCCGAAACGATACTTGTCCACGTCGAGTATCCATTTAGTCACAATATTGTGACACGATTGCTTCATGTCGTTTTTGTTGACCAACGTGCGATGAGACAGCAATTGGTAGCGCATATAAAAGTCATGGTAGGACCAGCGTGATGGGAAACCAGCGGCTGAGATGCGTACCGTTTCGAGTACACCACATGCGCGCAGTTGTTGTACGATTTTGGAAGCCTCCCACTTGAAGGCCACTTTATCATCGTTCGGCTACAGAGTGTGGTAGAARGAAGAGCGAAGTACATTTTTTATTATTAGTTAGTTTTTTGATCGTTTCTTATTCATATTTTAATAAGGGGATGTATGTATAGAAGGATATGCATACATCTACTTAACTTTTATATCTTTTAGTTAAAAGATATACTTTTATACTCCAGGACAGAAAAAAATTAACGAAAAAATTTCTAACCTCAAAATGACACTAGGGAAAATTTTGTTAATTGAAATATATACATATATGTACATATACATAAATATATATTATAATACATAATTTATATCCAATTTTTTACCAATTTGATATGAATTTAAAAAATTAAACACCCTAACACCGTAAAAAAACGTGTAAACAAAAATAATGTTTTTTTTTTAATTGGATCTTGCTGGGTTTTTACTGAGCAAAGCTTTAGTCATAAAGTTTCTGAAGAACACTAACAATTTTTATTTTCCCATATACTTAAAACAAAATATAATTTTTGTTGTTTAGTGTCACTCACCTTTATGCAGCGCACGTAATGCGGTGTTGTTGCATGCAAAGTGGATATGAGCGATGAAAGACTCTCTCTAAATTGTGAGCCAACCGAACGGCGATGTTGTTTTGACGGAGCGATCTAGAAGATAGCGCGATAAAATAGCTTGTACAACAGTTTTTTTTTTCATAAAATGATGTAAAATGGTTAAAAATAACTGAATGTCGAAATTGGGTATGCGTATGGTTAAAATTTTGGTAAGTCAAAAGTGGGTTATTAGAAAGCAACACAAGTGAGTAAACCAAATGACGGTTAGRCTTTCCTTATCAACCAAGTTAGTTACGTTTATAAAGACATATAACGTAATTACAGTTAAAAATATGTTAATTTTGTTTGTGTAAATTTGTATAAGAAAATTAGGGAATAATAAGTATTTGGTGTTAGAAAACAACAACACATATATGCCATTTAAAAGCACTAACTCGCTTGCGATTGTCTGCAGTTAACTAAACATCCACGCAAATAACGACATCATTATCAAGGTTCAATCAATACAGTGACGTTGACGAAAAAGAGGAAAAAAAACAATACGAAAACAGTTACTTATTGAAATGCGTACATAGAGCTGAAATTTTTTGGTTTTTTTTTAGTAAAAAACTGTTAAAATCTTCAAATAGTTAAATTTAATATGTATAGTACATACAATTATATGCAGTAAAGAGACATTTATTTGCATTTTAAACATACACATCACACTCACCTGTTGCCTAGTTGCGCTGATCACTACACGTCCACCTAGCGTTGTTACTTTTGCGGCGTCTGCGCACAGCGTATCAATTTCCTCCATATCCATTAATTGTTTGCATAGCGACATCTGCGATTGACGTATAACATTGACCAGCTCTTTCGATACGGTATCACGATTCTTTTCCAGAAAACCATAAACGTCATATTCAACCGTATCGGAGAAATGCTTAATGTAAAAGCCTGAAATAAATTATATATTTTATTAAATGTACTAATTAAAATTTGTAAACAAAAAAGTCTAGACKTTTAACACGTACTTGTGGTGCCGAAACGTGGTTTTTCAAAATGTGGATATTTATTGCATTTTTCAATTAGTTTGCCAGCCCAACTCTCGTCACTGCCCTTGGGCATCTGTGCAAATATTAAATATTTCGTTAAGTAAATATGCAAACCCGTTTATTTTGTTACATTCTGCATATGCGCTTACCCTACATTCCTCATCGAGGAGATCTAGTACGCCCAGCTTCGATTCTATTAAGTCTATGCAGGGCTGATTATCATAGAAGTCTATCATTGTCCATGTTATGCCTTCCTTCAAATATTCCTCTTGTTCCAATTTGAATACATGTTGATTGAATTGTTGTTGCAATTTCTCATTTGCATAGTTAATGCAAAATTGTTCGAATGAATTTACTTCGAATGTCTCGAAACCATAAATATCCAAGACGCCAATGAAACTGTTTTGCTTGCGACTAGCCGTATTTAGGCTCTTGTTGATAACTTGTACGATATACTGAAAAAGTTTCGCATAGATATGCTTTGCAAGCGCATCTTTGGCAGCTTGCGCCGTGCTAATGCTGTTCGGTATAAGCACTTGCTCGTTAACTGATTCGATTTGACGTGTTTTTAACCATTGACGCAACTCATCTGGATTAATTTTTAACATGTCAGCAGTCACATGAAGGTGTAGATCATTATGCTGTTAAATAATTATGTAAAGTAAGTGATTAATTATCTGCAATTTTATAGACAAATTATATTTGAATATACATACATTGATATCACAACCGTCAGGATCGACTTCGTTAGTACCTTTCTTATGCYGTGGTACAAATATTATATTGCCTAAATGCAATATACCGGCAAGAAGGTTTAAGATATCTGTTATCTGCAATATAGATATATAAAAAAAAATTAATAAGGGTGCATATATTTCAAATTTATCGTTTAGCTCACCTGCAATGTGCTAAAACCCAACACAATCATAGCCTGTATAGTTTCTTTGAATTGCTCTTTGTCCGAGACTCTATCAATATGTGGCGAGTTCCCCATTTTAAGATACTCAAACTTATCCTGATGATCTACAAGTACGCAATTATCATAAAACAAAACAAAAATTAATACAGAAATGTACATTTGCATATATTCGATATCAAACGCACCTAATATTAATTCCGGATGCATTTCACGTGCATCGCAAAGTTGATAGAAAATGTGATAATTCCGCTCGCCCGGCGCTTGAAATACAACACGTGATTTCTCCAACAAATATGTGTGCATTGTGGCGCCCGTCAGATTCATAACACTCATATTATTCTTGAAAAGTAGTTTCGTAAATTTACCAAAGCGTGAACTATTATCATTACGTGTAGTCTTTGCGTTGCCGAATGCCTCCATGATTGGCGATGATGCGAGTACTTTGCGTTCAACTTGTGTTTCGGATTCAGAGCCTCCAACTGCAGCAAAATAACGCATTGCATACTTTGCAGATACCGTTTTGCCCGCACCCGACTCTCCGCTTACAATTATGCTTAAATCACATTTCTCACGTTCTAGCTTGGTATATGCTTCTTCGGCTAAGGCGAATATGTGTGGCTCCAATTCGCCCATTGAACGGCCACGGTAAGCTCGTATAATACTTGGGCCATAGAGTGGTAATTCGGCATATGGATTTATGGCAACTAAGATGATGCCACAGTATGTGTAAATGATTTGTCGTTCGCAGAAACGTACCTTTAGATTGTGTAATACAGCAGGTTCATGCAGATATGACATAGCCGTCAGATCATTTTGTCCGATTAGTATAGCGGGATTGCGCAGTGGTGGCAAATTACTTCCATCGGGCTTTGTAGAAAGTTCCACTGAAGTGCCGGAATCTTTGACGATCTGTATGGTTATGTCGCCTTTGTGGTAATCCCTCTGTACTGTGGCAGTCTCCCATACTTGCTCTGGATGGGGAACCCAGATTTTGGACCCCTAAAATAATTGTATAGAAAAACCAAGGTTTTCATATTAATAGAACTTGTATGTTAAAAGATTTTTTCTCAAATTAATAACATTCTTTCCATTAATTTCATAAAATATACATATGTATATGGTATGTTTAATTCACTGCAGCTGTTTTATATTTCCAATACTATGCAATTCGTAATCAAAGCTCGAAAACATTCACAACTAACTCTTTCAATATGATTGCTCTGTCAAGTGGTGTGTACAAAAATAGCAATTAGTTATTCTTATAATTGGCCTTATCGTTGGCAATAGTCACTTCGCATTGATAGACCACTGAATCATCATGCACCCTTAGCTAAACTTTTTTTTATATCATTTGATTTTTTACCTTTACACTTGGTAATTTTTTTTCTTATTAGAAACTAAAACCAATATTTTTTTTTATTTTGTCCTTCAAAATATAATCGATTGCGTATAAGAATTATTCTAGTTAGACCAGCTAGTCTATGGAATAAAGTTTCAACCGAATAATTGAAGTATTGGTTTGTATCAAAGTTTAGTCTATGTACATGAAACCGCTCGTCGGCCATCCAACTTGTCAACACATTACACTTGCACTTGTAGGGCTGCTGCCTCCAAGTTGATCACTCAAGCAGACAACCGAAAAGCGGCGTATAATAAATACCTTTGCATATAACATGTCTTCGTTCGACATGATTTTGTAGTAATCTCAATGCAACTCCTTGTCTACTACTCCGGCGATTACGGTTATATGACTTCACACATAAACTGTATTTAACTAACAAAAGTGTTTACTAWGGCGGTAAACCCAATTTTCAATCAATTTGTTGGTATCGTTTTCGTATCTTCTTCCCACCAGGTAAAAGCTAATCAGTGTTTATTTTTGTATATGAAGGTGTGTGACCTTATTTTTTAAATTATATCTACTCATTTAATGTTATTATAATTTAGCGTACGCGTTTCACTTCCTTCAAATGCATATTTCGTAACGTTTTTCTTATTTTTATCTATATTTTCTAATTATATATAATATTACAGAAAATTTCGCTGCCTCAAACAAAGAAAATGAAAATTAATTTGTAAAATAAACTAAATTTTTCACTCTGACGTCTAGTCAACTGAACGTTGACGTTGACAACAAAAAAGCAATAAAAATTACAGAACCACACGTACACAAACACCTGCCGGCCGTAGCGTTACCAGAAAATTGTTACTTTTGAGATCATTCCTAAAACATTCATCCTGTAAAAATTAAGGAATTTTCTTGCAAATTACAAAATAATAACATTTATATGTTTTTTTTAGATATATGTAAGGCTCTTATTATTCCTGGTCATTTCTATATTTAAATATTTCAATCGAATTTGACATGAGAAATTCTCTAAGTAAAACCGGTTACACTCAAGTATCTAAATCGAAATGCAATCGTGCTTCAGAAATGTCAATCCGAATTTTCGCGCGGTTTTATTTGTCAGTTGCGTTTACATTACTATTTGCAGCGTGAATTTGTTCAAATATAATCAAATAAAACCAAAGTATCAAATTGTTATATTATTAATATTTTGTAACTATATAACATCAATATATTAAAATGTCAAGTCCCGCTCGAACACCCGAAGGTGGGGTAACCCCAAGAGGTCAAGGTGAACGTACTCCAACGCGAAGTAAGTATTTCAATATTTAAGGTCTAGTTAAAACTTATCACGATGGTCTATTGCAGACCCTGTGGTTCAGGATGCAACAGATACACCGATGCGTATGGGCCCAACAACTCAACGTCAGAGCCAACAGCCATCGGAAATTAGTTTGCCTCCAACATCACCGGGCGGTTTAAGTTTACCAGCAACAAGTCCAGCCCGTGCGCTGGGCATGAGTGAAATTGATCTAAGTTCGCCATTGAACTATGGTACTCCAAGCTCCATTGGTTCTATTCGCACACCACGTTCTGGTATTCGTGGTACACCTTTGCGAGCACGTCCTGATATACGCACTGATAAAAGGATGCGTCAAGTGGCAATTGGTGGTTCTGCAACCGGTGTAAGTATGGAACTTATTGCGTGTATTTTTGTTTTCTTATACAAAAATTAAAATTTTTTAGTTGGATCCAATTGCTGAGAAACCCTCAGAAGGAACTGATACTGTGTCTGAATCGTCTTCAACACCTCAAATGGTTGTTTGGGGCACCAATGTTGTGGTGCATCAATGTAAAACAAAATTCAAAGTTTTTCTTATGCGCTACATCGATCCTGACGTAGAGCGCGACGAAATTTCTGAAAACATAGATATAAATCAGCCAATATATATGCAAAAGTTGGAAGAGATTCACACTCTAGAGGAGCCTTACCTWAATGTGAATTGCGCACATTTGAAAACATTTGATGAAGCACTCTATCGCCAGTTGATTTGTTACCCTCAAGAAGTGATCCCAGCTTTCGATATGGCAGTAAATGAAATGTTTTTCGAACGATACCCAGCAGCTGTATTAGAGCATCAGATTCAAGTACGCCCCTTTAATGCGGATAAGACACGTAACATGCGTTCACTCAACCCTGAGGATATGGATCAGTTGTTGAGTATTAGTGGAATGGTAATACGAACATCTGGTGTTATTCCGGAAATGCGTGAAGCTTTCTTCAAATGTATAATATGTGCTTTCTGCACCGCAGTTGAAGTCGATAGAGGACGCATTGCTCAACCAACCCTCTGTACAAATTGTAATACAAATCATTGTTTCCGATTGGTGCACAATCGTTCAGAATTTACAGATAAACAACTAATTAAACTGCAAGAGTCGCCGGACGACATGGCTGCCGGTCAAACACCACACAATGTGCTTCTATATGCCCACAATGATTTAGTGGATAAGGTTCAGCCTGGTGATCGTGTCACCGTGACTGGTATATATCGCGCTGTCCCATTGAAGGATAAGGGGCGCAATATTAAGAGCGTTTACAAAACACATGTTGACGTAGTGCATTATCGGAAAGTTGACAGCAACCGTTTGTACGAAGAGGAAGAAGGGTAAGTAAAGAAATTTCTCTCTGATCTCAAGAAAATGAATGCATCATATATGTATATATGTACATATATATATATATATATTTTTTTTTTTTTTTAATAGAAAAATTCATATTTTTACACCAGAGCGTGTGGAATTGTTACATTTGCTCTCACAGAAACCGGATATATATGATCGTTTATCCAGAGCCATTGCTCCTTCCATTTATGAAAATGATGACATCAAGAAAGGTATTTTATTGCAATTGTTTGGTGGTACGAAGAAAAAGCATTCAACTTTGGGCAGACAGAATTTCAGGTATGCTTAAAAATAATTATAGTTTAATTATTTCACTATTCAAATTGAGTTTAATTAATAGAGCGGAAATTCATTTGCTTTTGTGTGGTGACCCCGGTACATCAAAGTCTCAGTTGCTACAATATGTTTTTAATTTAGTACCGCGCTCACAGTACACTTCGGGTAGAGGATCTTCGGCAGTTGGTCTAACTGCTTATGTTACAAAAGATCCGGAAACGCGGCAACTAGTGTTGCAAACGTGCGTATTTCTTAAATTATAGTTTAAAAGCAACATCAATCATTTCTATATATTTTAGTGGTGCACTGGTATTGGCTGATAATGGTGTTTGCTGTATCGATGAATTTGATAAAATGAAYGATTCCACGCGCAGTGTCCTGCATGAAGTAATGGAACAGCAGACCCTAAGTATTGCCAAGGCTGGTATCATTTGTCAGCTTAATGCACGTACCTCCATTTTGGCAGCTGCTAATCCAGCTGAATCGCAGTGGAATAAGAAAAAGAATATAATCGACAATGTGCAATTGCCACATACACTCCTGTCAAGATTTGATTTAATTTTCCTTGTACTGGATCCACAGGATGAGCAATTTGATCGCCGTTTGGCAAATCATCTTGTATCCCTTTATTATGTGACTCGTCACGAAGAAGAAGACACAATGTTTGTAAGTGATTTTAATACATTTCCATTAAGAAATTTAATTAAATAAGAATTGTATGTAGGACGTTAGTGTACTACGTGACTACATTGCTTATGCTCGAGAACACTGCTCTCCTACTTTATCGGAGGAAGCTCAACAACGTCTCATTCAAGCATATGTTGATATGCGTAAAGTTGGCGCCCGTCGCGGTCAAATATCAGCGTATCCAAGACAGCTGGAAAGTTTGATACGTTTATCGGAAGCACATGCTAAAGTTCGCTTGAGTAATGTAGTAACTGTAGAGGATGTAGAAGAAGCTTGGAGGTAATAATTGTCCTTACCATACTGTTTGGTAGATATGTATGTTAATAATACATGATCTTATTAACCAGATTACATCGTGAAGCTTTGAAACAATCTGCCACTGATCCACTTTCTGGCAAGATAGACGTGGGTATTCTTACAACAGGTTTGTCGACTGCCGCACGTAAGAAACGAGCTGATCTCGTATTAGCTATTAAGGAAAACCTTAAGAAGAAAGGCAAAGTGCCAACTGTTCCGTATCAGAAACTGTTTAAAGAAGTCAAAGATGCTTCACAAATTGTAAGTATTTAGTAAACCATTGCAGCGTTTGTAACATATAATCATATAATTTGTTCATTCAGCTCATTACACGTGAACAATTCGAAGATGCGCTCAAAGAAATTCAAGATGAAGGCGCCATTGTTGTGATGGGTAAAAATACCATCAGAATCTGTTAAGTACAAATRGATAAACATTCATATATATGTTTTGTGTCATCGTTTTTTATTTCATTACAAAAAATTATTCCAAATAAATGTCTTTAACATATTTTAAAAACCCGGCATTTTGAATTTTTCGCTTTTATTTAAAAAATTGTTTGTTCCTTTTAACTTATTATTTTTTTTGTATATGTTAAATTTTTTTAGTTTATAAATTTATTTATTTTTTAGTTTGTATAATCCTATCCTAATAACACTACTAAACAAATCAGAAGTTTCCATTACGTAAAGCTATTTTTGTAATTTTAGTAAATTACTCCCTACCCCTTGTTTACAACACAAAAAAATTSTAATTATCAAAAAATATTTACTATAAATTGGGATTTAACGACCCAAAATTAAGAAGATTACTGCAAACTAGTGTATTTTTTAAATATCTACTGCTTAGCTCGTTTAACACCCCTGTTTCTAACTCCTTTAATATTTATTATGCCGCCGCTGTAATTGTTTTATTCATGCCAATGGCAATTCAAACGTCGTTGAAATAAAATGCAACTATACTGAAGTTTGGCAAAAGTCGAATGTGTCAAAAGTTTTTCTTGTATATTAATTTATTTAATATAATATTAGCAATTAAGTGAAATGTCTCCGCAGCCAGTTGTTGATATAATTGCGACCAACTCTTTTGAAGCAGTAAAAGAGGAAATGGACTCTACAGCCRTAGATACGTCAAGTAATATGTTTGCACCAACGGATTCTGGTGAAATTAGCAACCAAACGGATTGTATGGTCCCGCGCAAACAACGCGAACGCCGCAATAAATCGCCAATTGCCATATCAACTCTTTTAGAGACTTTTGCTGCTCCATTGTCACCAGCGTCCTCCACATCAACATCACTAGGTAATTGTAGTGCTGATGCCACATTTGAGCCATCAATTGATATGATGGTCAACGATTTTGACGATGAACAGACATTGAACGAAGAAGAAGCCTTAGCTGCAATGGAACAGCAAGACCCTAACGATGAAATTGCTACATTGCAAGAGGAAAGTGAAATGCCTTTAGAAGAATTGTTGGCAAAATATCAAGTAGCACAACCAGCTCCTGTACACGTTGGAGCATATAGAAAAAAGAATAAACGTTCTGCTGGTGGTGGTAAGAATTCTAAACATCGCAAAGTTGCAAGGGAAGTGMCACCTGTAATTTCTGAGGATCCTGCAGGACCTACTTTAGAAACTGCTGAAGTTAATGAACCGAATACTACAGAAAAAGCGACAAGTGACATAATTTTGATTGAAGAGAGTGGTGATGAAGAAAACACTGCCAAAAAGATAGCTCCAGAATTGTGTGAGGATAATGAAGAATGTATAGAAGAAGATGAATTTGATTGTAAACAAGACGAAACTGTTGAAAGTGTGGAATTAACAAATGGACTTGCCGAAAAAAATAAGTACCGTCGTACRCATCTTATGGATCTTTATCCAGAGGAGTCTTTCACTGAAGTATTAAATTCAGGAGTTGGAACYGAAAAAGGTTTGWAACACACAACTATATATACATATAYATATTTTTTTAAATTCATTTTGAATTTTAGACGCACAACTCGACTTACTTTATGATGATGATAATGAGGAAGATGTAAATGATGCCGAAGAGGAGGAAGAAGATGAATTTGACAGCGACTATGTAAAGAAGACTATTATGGTTGGACCATCATACCAAGCAACTATACCAGATGGTTTATCACAATATGGCGATGTGTTACCYTATGAAAATGAAGATAAACTGATCTGGGAACCCAGTCAGGTTAGTGAGCGACAAGTTGAAGAATACTTGCTTAAAGCACGGGATATTAAACCAAGTTTGTTGGATAATGCCGACGAGGAAGGTGAAGAGCCTAGAATAACTACTAATACAGAGGAACTGGCCTTAGATGCAACAAATATTGCATCAAATGGCGTCGACGTCGAAAGTAAAGAGTCGTCTCATAGTAACAAAGCAGATGACGTGCTAAGCACCGTAACTTCATTATCAGGTGAAAGCGCTGATGCAACTGCTGTGATTAAGGATAATGAGCAGGTAAGTGTCTCAAGCCTTTTTYATAAAAATAATTTAAAATAATAGAAATTCTATGCTACAGGCACTGCATTTACTCGTCCAATGCGGTTATGAYTTTAAAGAGGCCTTACGACGCAAACGTTTAAATGCCCTCCCACTGACTGGTTCGATGAGCCTATGGTCAGAAGAAGAGTGTCATAAATTCGAAGAGGGTATACAAAAGTTTGGCAAAGATTTTTTCAAAATMCGCCAAAATCAGGCAAGTATAATCTCTAATGAGATTCAAGGATTGGARCATTAATTTATAGCATTCGTCGCTATTTAAAGGTGCGTACGCGTACAATGCGTGAGCTGGTGCAGTTCTATTATATCTGGAAGAAGAGTGATCGTCGTGATCACAATTTTGCTAATTCTGACACAGTAGATCACATGGACATTTATTTGAACGAGGGTGGTGATTTCAGTCCAACAGCGGCAATCAACGGTAACTCCACAACGGGGCATTCTTCCAACGCTAATGGTGCTGCAACGCTGGGTGCAAAAAAAAATAACGCTTGCGTTCAAAAAAATCCAATTTCCATAATGATGGTAGGCAACACCGCCACTAATAGCGGTACGCCGATAGCAACAACAGCACAAATAAATGGCAATACTAGTAAAGTAGCAAGCAATCGAAAACGTAATGTTGTAGGAAACGTGAATACTAACTTTGAGAATCCAATAAATCAAAATATACCAGCACCTGTTGCACAAACGAAATGATGACGAATCTCTCGTGGCGCAGCGCAAAGCAGACAGCAAATCAAACTGCGACGTGTTAAAGCCGAGCCCTACTGGTGCTGGCGTATTACACGCAACATTTGCTTACGTTAAGAGAGTAAATAGTATTAAATAATTAACATTTCTTTATATATTCCGACATATTATATATATATATATATATAATATATAAACATTAATTTTATTTATTTTTTTATTGTCAATATTTAATTAAAAATTATTACTACTATAGTTTTAATTGTATAAGTTAGTTAAGTTTGCAGATTTTAGCATAAATGTTGAATCCTTTACCGTATTATCTGTATGTACTCATATAGTATGCGTTTTTTATACACCATATAATCTCATATGTATAAAATAATAAATCTTCAAGAAGTTATTTCCATTAAAAATGAGAATTTTCAGAAATTTTATTTGATACCCATATTAAACACACTTTTCTGCGCATCGTACCTTACAGGACACCACACCAATATTAATTACCAATTCTGCCGTTACAACAACAACAACAAGAACCAATTCCATCTCTAAGATAATCTCTTCACGGTGGAGCCACCAACATCTTTACCGACTCCCTTTCAGTTAGTGGCGTTCGTGGAGTTAAACCGAGAGTGACCCTTGCGCAGCTTCGTTCTGGATACTGTAGCAGTTTAAACTTCTACTTATCCAGAATAGACCCTGACATATTCAATATAAATATGTCCTGCGTGCAATGAGTTTCCCCATGACATTGGCCACCTCCTTGCATGCGCCACTAGCCCCATTCATCTGACACCTCTCTGCCTTTGGTCCGACCACGTCGAAACAGCAGGTTTATTGGCCGTCTTAGCTAATCTTTACCGTCCTAASGGGGATTAGGTATCCGTTACAACAACAACAACAACCAAGGCAACCTCCGTTCCTGCTACAGTCGAGTCTACATAAATACAACGAGTCCCGTTTCTGTATATAAGACCAATATAATATCAAATAGATCGCCTTTAGGGAACTGGTCGGATTCAGTCAGAGTTGAACATGTTTTAATAATTTCAACAATAAAAACGGTGGACATTGTCGGGTCAATCGATCTTGAATTTGAAATGAAAAGCTCAATATTTATGGTAGATACTCTGGTATTTCCTATCGAGGTATTATTTGATAGAGAAGAACGTAAATCAAATGGATAAAAGATTATCAAAATGTCATTTCTCAGGGAGATCATGGTGCTAGGTACATAGTTTTCGAACAACTGAGTTTTGATTAATTTCAAATTCAGCAATTTCCGAGTGAAATTTGTGGAGAAAGTCAATCTTCAACTACTTTAGCATGAAGTATTAACCACTATTTGATTTTTCTTATTTGGAATCTGGTTATTTTGAGATAGGGTYTCTTTGGTTCGATTGAATGTGCACTAACTATACTTATTAACAAATCACCGAATATGATTGGTAGTACTACTACTACTTATCGATCTAAACAGTGATAGATCATCGAAAGGACGTTCCTTGGCCGAAAAAAATTCGGGAGAGCTCTGGTAACGCTGAACAGACTGTCGTGGAAATTGAAACATTATTATTACAATTGCAACAATTTTGTGTTTTRAGAATAATATACACAGCCTTTAAATCGGTCGGTCCACTTCACAAACTACGGCGCATTGGGGCGTGTTATCACTCGCAACCCAACGAGTAGTAAGTGTAGGTCGATTTTCATGATCGTTGTTGTTAGAGTAGATAAACGCGATCTAGACAAATTCGCCAATTCATCATTCAGTCTCCCTTATTATACTTCGTCTCTTCCCTTGCAGACCACTGCAATAGATTGTCAAATCACTAATGATCACAACTTATAAGAYCAATTAAAGACATTTAGTAGTATCTACTAGAACTGTTTTCTTTATGACCGTCTCGTGGCTATTTAGCCAATAGAACTTAATTTAATTTTAAATAAAGTTGCGGCYATCTTATGAGACCAACTATCTATACGTTAGAACTACCCATGCAAAGACTCATAGAAAGTAGAGAACACCCGAGAGACAACCTGTCACTTCCATAGAATGAACAACACAAAAATTCATTAGATCTTAAGTTACATAGATCCACTTCTCGTCTACCGCTAACTCTTATAACATTTATAGTACAAACATTTATAGTAAAAACAGTAAAAATATCAAAATATCACGTTGCACTTTTTGGTGTGTTAGTGAAGAGGTGTGAGGTCAAATCACCTCCATTTACTAAACATACAAAAATAGCTGTATGTGATAGAAAATTTCGAACTCAAACTCGTAATCAGAACGCCTCAAATACCCCACAATTTGTCTTCCTCTTTAATGGCACAGACCGAAAGCCGAGCTTTGAACCGCGTACCAGTCGTTCTTCCTTATCGCTATTTGGCGCCAATTGGATATTCCAAGTGGCTACATCTGATGTTTCCAGCGTAGCCGCTGTCTCTTAACTCGCTGAACTATGTCAAAGTCATCATATATCTCGTACAGCTCATTGTTCCATCGACTGCGSTATTCCCTGCAGGTCAATGCGCAAATGATCTCTCGAAAACTCGTAACGTGCACCATACAGCAGAAGGAGGATGATGAGTGACTTGTAGTATTTGGTTTTTATTAGTCGAAAGAGGACTCTGCTTCTCAATCGCCTACTCATTCCCAAGTAGCACCTGTTGACAATAGGTTTTCWGCGTTGGATTTCRAAGCTGATATTTGGGTGTAAATGCTGGTTCCAAGAWAGAATAAATTATATACAATTTTGAAGTTATGACTGTCTGCGGWCAAGTGAGAGCCAAGTGGCGAGTACAACGACTGTTTGTTTGATGACGTGAGATATTTCGTCTTATCCTCAGTCACTACCAGACCCATTGCTACCAGGTTCAAGGAATAAAAATATTCTATGGCATATACATACATATATGGTTTTGGAAATGAATTAACCGCTTTTGTGCCACTTTTTACAAAGCTTCCTATATACATGTTTACATAAATACATGCGGTGCGTGAATGTGTGCGTGCTTTAAGTAATGAGTACTCCTGATTCCTGCCTCTACGATCAAACATCCACTCATTCTCCCCGCAAGTCGGGATATTAATTTTTGGGAATGTATTGTGATCCGACAGCAACGCAGCACGTGCGATAGGGGTGACTATGTCTACTCTTCGCTCAACGCACTGCAGAAAAGGGAGTAAGCGACTAATGCGAGTACTGCAAGCTTAATACATACATAGATTTGCAAATACGTGTGTGAGTGTATGTATGTATGTACATATGTTTGTTTATCTCCAACGAAGCAGTATGCCTCAAAAGTAAAAAATGTAGTAGTTAGTTGTAAGGATTAATATTTGTAATTGGTTTGAGTATTTTTATCTTTATCACGTTATTGTGTATATTATTCTACGTAGATAATAATATGTATATGTTAGTATAATGTATTAAAATGTAAATATAATTTATTTGCGTTTACATTTTAATTTTTATTGCTGACTTTCTGATGTCTTGTAGTTTTTTCTACCATATACATACATACAAATATACATATAGACGCACTTACAGACAGTTGCACACAAATAAAAATACATATCCATACATTATTAAGGCACTCTCTCGTCCTGTTTGTTGCGCATTGGTTTACATTTGTAGCCTACAACAACACCAACAAGGCAAGAAGTCACAACCACCACCATTATGTCGTTTGGTGGCTCCAATACACTAAGCAAATGGGTACCCAACATTGACTACTTATAAGAATACCTACATACATACAAATGCATGTACGCATATGTGTCAGCGCCTGCGTGCGCTCACATAAATGTATATAAATGCAGCGCTATAAAATAAGCTTTGAAATGTCCATGTGTGCATGCATGCCGTAAGTTTGGGTGTTTGTGTGTGCCCAACACGCCAGCTGGGCTCTCTCTTTGACTTGCTGATAGGAAATTGGGCAACACAACATAAGGGCGCGCTGCCTCAACGGTGAGTTAGTGTCATGTCAGAGCTGTTGTGTGAAAGGTGTATAGTCTTCGTTATTATTGTCCTTAAATCGTGCAACTGAGCGTCTCCGTTGGATTTGATATATCAAAAAGTAATATCTATATATATATCTATATATATATATATATATACAAATAATCAGCGTTTAAAAGTAGCTTTGGCGAAATTGTACAAAGCTCGTGCAATGGATTTGATCAGACTTAAATAAATTTATGTGAAATAGATAAATAAATAAATAATAAACACTATGCAATAATCTAAGGCCATAATATAATTACTAAAATACATACATACACAWGTGTATGTAAATAAATATGTATAAGAGTTTTTAAGAGTGCTTTCAAAGCCGAAAAATCGAATAAAAGGAGCAGRGGAGTATTACTGATTTTACATAAATTAACAATAAAATAAATTCATATAATTACAACTAACAAAAGGGAACGGCTTCAAAAGCGGTACTTTTACAATATATACATACATACATAACTATAATATAAATACATATATATATATATAACCATATAATGCATTAGCGAAAAACTCTTTTAAAACTAAATACAACAATACAGGGGCAGTGCAACAAAAATTAGAAAACAAAAAATCAAATTAAGTAAAATAACAGCAAACTCAAAAAAAAAAAAATAATAATAATAACGCAAAAACAATAAAAAACGCTCTTTTAACTTCTGTTACGTTTTCATTGCTGTGGTGCGCCCGAAATTCGAAAAGGAACTCAAAAAAGAACAAATAAACTAAAAGAACTAACAGTAGGAATCCGAGAAGCAGCGAAGAGCGCTCAAAAGTACATGAAAAGGCATTAGATTGAAGCATATCTATGTGCATTTGACAAACAAACAAGCATACATACAAATATATGTATGCACCCAATTGAACAAATACTTTTCATACATATGTTAATACATACACACATGAATAAGCATACATGAAAACATAGAAAGATAATGCGAAATAGGTTTTCGGCGATATAGTGGAGATTTGTAAAATTACAAAAATAACAAGAACAACAACAACGGCAAAACACCAGCATAAATCGACTGAACTCTTCTAAAGTACTAAATGTATGTAAAATCATAAAAAAAAACTACTTGAAAATAAAATTTTAAACAACACAATAATTAAATATATAATTAACGCATACTCGTGGCCCTTGCAAGCAAAAAAAACAAAAAAAATTCATAGTGTTAAAAATCCAATTGGGAGTCGGTTAGCGCAGCATAGACTGAATACAACCCTAAAAGCATTCATAAATAAAAAAAAAAAAAAAATTTAAGAGAAAATAACATAAAAGAGAAACGCAAGCGATTGTGTACAACACAAATTGATGAAAACAAGAAAAAACGAATACATAGAAGATTTGGGGAGCGAAAAGCAAAGCAAAAATCCCAGCACCTTTATATATTATACATATGCAAAGCAAGTATATTCGTATTCGTTAGAAGTTATAAACAGCACGGAGAAGAGGAAGCAGAATAAGACGGCCTAACGCAGCGCACAGGCAATAGTCAGAACGTTGTATAAGGGAAACGGAAAAGACCCCATACATACGTTGGTTTCGGCCTTTGCTTCGCTTACGAAAACACTGACAGCAGTGACGACGACACAGATCCAACAACAACAACTGCACACGCATACACCTATATAAACGCAAACTTGTATGCCTGTGCCAAGAAACGTAAGTACAAAAATGATAAAAATAACAAGCCATCATAGACAAGTTTGCTATAGACAGAATATTTGAGTACATATGTCTGTATGTACTCACAAATAATTACGGCTGCGTGTGTATGTGTGCGCATATTGACACAGTAAAGGTAAAAAGGATATTCGGGATTGCATTCGTTACAACGCATTTAAATCGCCTAAGTTCTGAATGATAAAAGTTCAAATACACACATACATACATACATATGAAAAATGTTGTGTACATACACATGTTTGTATGTATTGTGCGGCGCAGATTATCCTGTTGGAAAAACGACTTCTAACTGTACTGGAGTTATAGATTTTGGTTTCCACTGACACATATTGTTGTCAAAAGAATATGTATGTACACATACATACATCCGTACACATCTATATGTATGTAAATTATTTAACGACCATTTTGACGGAGTTTTGAAGGATTTGGTCTTGGTTAGGCTAATCTAAGAATTAAAAAAAATTAAATCTTTTATATAACGTATACTTTAGGATTCCATAATCGCACTTCATTGTTTCGCTGCTCAATCCGTTACAGTGTGGAAGCGTTCGGAGCAGTTAGCTTTGGCACCGAACATTTWATCAGTAAAAAACTGAAGCTTGGTTTAAAAATCCACCATTTTGCGAAAAATTGGTAGGAATCTAAAATTATACATACATATGTATGTATTTACCTAGCAACTTTTATGTAGATACAGATTCCATTCTTTATTACATTTCACATAACACGAATTTCCTACGTGATTCCGACATTTTTGTATACATTCAAATACATGATCAAAAAGGCTGAAGAGGAAATTTCCAAAGTAAACAGGACTTTAAAAAACAGAACAAATGTTTTTTTCAGTAAAATCAGCCTCTACGTCTGCATAACGCTTTCCTTTCATGGTTAAATGCATTTTTCCGAAAAGGTAGTTGCACGGTGCCATATCAGGTGAATACTGGGAGTGGTTAATGGTTAAAATGTGATTTTTGGTCAAATAATCGGTCACAATGATATGAATATCCTTCGAATGTTGTGAATGTTGAATTCTGAGCAATTTTTGGTCCGGAACAAACCATGCACACACCTTTCGTAAGCCCAAATGTTCGGTCACAATGCGATAAATCGATGTTTTGGAGATGTTCCATTTCATGAATTTCAATGATGATTTCGGCTGATTTTTGATAAATTCAAGCACGGTTTCGATGGAATTTCCGGTAATCACGGATTTTGATTGTCCCCCACSTTGATTGTCATTTATGTCCTCATTGCCACATTGAAAACGTTGAAACCACTCGTGCACTCTGCTACGGGATCATTCATCAATTGAAACGTTTCAGTAAAAGTTTTACCAATTTTAAAACAAAATTTAATGTTGGCTCTTTATTCGAAGCTCATTTTCGCGCCGATAACACAAACATACTGACACTTAAAACGCAATAACTTCACTACCAATCGATGAAATGTCATGAAATTCTCACTGGATAATCGATAAAGATAGCAGATTTTAACGCACCAGTCGACATATAGATGGCGCTACCAGATTCAAAAAGTCCTGTTTACTTTTTATTTAATTAAAAAGGCTAAAGGAGGGAATTTCAATTCCTCTTTCCTCACTTCTAGAATAAATTGTCAAATTTAGAAGCTTTTTGAGGACTCTTGACGGACCTAACCTATTAAGAGGAAGGATTTGAATTCCTTAATGCTTTGACTAATATCCAATAGACTTTTAAAAAATCGGTTCCGTAACTCTCAAGAGTGGCAAATTTGTGATAGAACTTACGGTAATGGGCAACAAAGGCGTTCGCAAATTCAATTGTGTGGTGAATGAGAAAGTAGAAAAGATTCCCTCACACGCTATCAAAGTGTGTAAAATTTCAACTATCACAATCGGACACTATGGAAAAATTTAATTAGAAGGGTCGTCGTCATCCTATTTTTACACAGCTTTTGTTTCATAACACATTTAATCAGACTTCAAAGAATTTCAAACTACTTTGTTATAAAATGGCAGGTTGTGGTGACACTGAAGATGTACATGGTCAGAAGAAAAATGTAATGATGGCGATGCTGTGTTGATGCAACTTTTGGTAAGCTTCATTTCGCCAGTGTTTGAAGCGTCCCTTACGATGTATTTACTTAAAAGTAGTTTTGATGTTTATTGGCCCATTGATAGTATGTATTACATCATCTTTAGATCGCAGCAATAAAAAAATCGAGTAAAGTTTAAGATGACATAAATATGTATATATGTATACAAAAACATTGTGTAGATCACCATAGTACAACATGATATAATTTTTCAAAGCACAATAAATAATTTACCGAAATAACACTAAGCGTATACTAGACGACTATTTTTCAGACAATTTCGACTTTTTGTTTGAACCGATCTTGACTTTCTCCACCATCTTATCTAGTCCTCTGGCAAATAATGGCAATTTCACACAATAAGTAAAGCTAAGTGTTTCTTCACATACGATGACTTACCAGTTGTTTTAAAGACTCGTGAAAAAGTTTTCGAAAGGAATTCGTTTTTAAATTTGAGCATAAAATTATTAAATTATTGAAATGAACCTATATTACAAGGTTAAACCCCGCATTTATTTATCATTATGTAAAAATATTGAAAACGAAGTATTAAAACCCGTAAAATGTTGGCTTTAACTGTCTAACAAAGTTTGGCTTTAGCAAAAAGGCATAAATGTGAAGAATTCCTTATATTCTTAATTATTTAAATTTTTGAATATTTTCTTCTGGCCACATCGAGGACTCCATAAAGTATACAAATAAAGGTTCACCTTGTCAATTTAGTTTTTTATTGGCTACTGGCTTTACATAGCTTAGGATAGATTAAGGTGCCGATCTCACTTGGACAGCTTAGAATGCCCGTACCCAAAAAACTTCTATATGTATAAGCTTCTTACAAATTGACCATACCACAAATTTATTGATTTGGCTAATGTCAGTTTTGGCTGCGTCTTCTGGAAGATGTGTCAGTCTTAGTCTTGCAAATACTGTACAATGAAGAAGAAAGTGCCTCCTCTACACAACATTGATCACATGCTTCCGACAAAATATTTACCCTTATCTCATGAATGCCCAATGTCAAGTAAGTACTTCTCGTTAAACTTCGCTAAAGGCAGGTATTTCTTTAGATGTCCTGCTGATTAGCTCTGAGTGCACATTTATCGAGCTCAATACCAATATTACCGCTGTGTTGTCGAAGTAAATACTCAAGTCCCTAAAAGAGGCTGCACTTCGTAGCAGTACGTGTACCTTCTGAGCTTCTTTAGAAAACTCCGCCTACAAACTTCTTTTCCAGCCTCGACACATCCGTGAAAATCACACTACGCCAGGAATGCAATTGAAGGAGAAGAGAATTTCGGCACGTCCTTATTCGGATCCCTTCATAAGTTCAGCTTCCCAGAGCCGTAGATCGCATTTCGCAGGAATATACGTGGTGCTATGTTCAAAATGGCATTAAGGGCTATTGTTGGTGTGATCCGTAATGAACCGTAGATACCGATAGGAGTCGTTCTTTGAATATGTTCAAGCTTCTTAGCAAGTGAAGCCTTTTCGTACTTATCCCCCAGATGAATACACTATAGAACATTGTTGGCTTGGCTACGGTCCTTAGAGCCAAAAGACCTTCTTTAGTGAGAGTCCTCATCTTTTCGCTATATTCCTCTACAGTAATATACTTATGTAATATTTAGTTTATATTCTGTATTTCGTRCATTTAATATTTGGCTTCCTTAAAAGCTTTCTAACAAGGATAAGCCCCTTAAATTAATTTTTTCACAAAATTCCGGTTTTTACCAGGACGAAAAGATTAGTAAATAACATTTTAAATTTCCACTAGATAACTACGACAGTCTTCAAAAGGCAGTTTTCAGAAAAACGCTTTTAATGTTTGAATTGTCCAATTGCTATAACATTATAACGGATTCGGCAGGGAAATATTTTTTTTACTATTTTTCGAAGTGAAGATATTTTTAGGATCTTCTAAGTGGACTTAAGACCAACTTCGATTTTTTTTTATCCTAAACTGGTTAATCGCTGAAAAATATAGGTTTGAAATAAAAAGGTGGCAAGTCGAATATATTCAACTGCAAGTCTAATGTTTGAATTTCTTCTGGCTGTGACTGCGTTCTTTACTTCTTTAAGTTGAAAATTGTAGAAAATTTCCTAAATCCAACACATAATAGGGTTACTATCTGGATCAGAAAAATCTGTAAACATACATACATACACACATACATACATATGTACATAAGTACAAAGTTATTAAATTTCGTGCAAGAGTGTAGCCAAGAAATTATTCTACGCAATTCGCAGATACATACAAACATACATACACACATATACAAAGGTATAATGTTTTTACATTCTGCGCACTTTGCGTGTTTCGCCCTTGTCTTAATTCAGTTCTTAGCATATCGTGTCCTTAACTCCATACGGCACTATATCGGTACATTTCTATGTATATGTATACGTTTTCTTTGTAATGTCATATACATGTGGATGGCTGGTGAGTTAGGGTACCTTCCAAAGGACATACAAATCGCAATAGTATTTAATCTTTTTAGGGGTGAGTTTACTTTTAGTTCAAATTTCTATGAATAACAGGGTGGTTTTACGTCGACTGTCTGTGCCTTCATGGCCTAGCGTTAAAAACTTCTTCCCCGCTGTTATTGTAGTTGTTCTGCTGTCTGCGGCACTCTTCTCAAGAAAATCACATACACATGCATGTGTGTATGTATGTACTTAGGCACGCATATGATTCCTTACGCATTTGTAGCACATCGATTGCAGAAGAAGAAAATTATAATGAAAAGCGAGGCGAGAACCGTACTAGAAAACCCTCTGCTGTTTTATGCCAAACGAAGTACATACGTGCATTTACGCACTTCCATTTGTATGTAAGTACGTGTGTGTGTGTGTGTGAGAGTATGATTGTGCTAAATACCTACTTTATACAGATATGCATGCATTCAGCCGTTAACAGATGACTCGCCTAGAATTTCGTTCGACGGTAATGAGCAGAGGGACATTGATTTGATTTKCGCTACAGTTCTCTTGTTAATGCCTTCTCAGCATCTCTTTCAAAATCGCACAATAATTCAATTTATTTGATTTATTTATGAACACACACTCATCAACTTTTGAAAAAAAAAATCGTAATTTTAATTAAATACGTGCATATTGTATGACTATGTGCATCTGCATGTACTATCTGCTAGTGGAAAATATCCATAATCTCGCTGCAACTTTTATACAGGTATGCAGTTACCTGGATGCGACGTCAAAGCGCCATTATCTAAGATTTTAACAGCATGCTTTACAAACTTCTATGCTATTGTGAGCTGTCAGCTGTTACAGTGTAGCGAACCGAACATGTTTTGACTGCTAGTCAAAGTGATTGGAAGCACTAACGGTGCTACTACTTACTTACTAACCTTGTGGTTCATTTATATAAGAAATTACATATGTATATATAGTTTCCAGGCTTAAATTTTTAAATCCATAAAAATGTATGTCATTCAAAATAGTAAAACTGGTATATACACTGTTAAATAAAACTTAAAACTCTTTTTGTCAAGGAGGAGACATCAMTTGATCTGAAGTTTCTTCTTCTTCATCATTGGCATAGACACCGCGGTTATAGCCAAGTTTACTACTAGTACAACAGCTCTCCAGTCATTATTTATTTTCTCTCTTCATTTGCCTTTTCCTACGAGTACTGCGTCGAATACTTCTAGATATGGACTGTTTTCATCCATTCGGACGASAAGACCTAGCCAGGCAGCCGCTGTCTGTAAATTCTCTGAACTGGTTTAGAGTGGCAAATTAATTTAAACAGCATATTTTTCCGTAACATGCTTCTATCCGTGCTCTCCATTTAGGTTGTCTATTTTAAAATTTATACTGTGAAGGGGTCAATGAACGAAATTCTGCTAGGTTGGACTCTGTTAATTTTTTGTTAGGTATAATTTAAGTCAACATTTTATCAGGTATTATTRTAAGGCTCTGTAAATGTTATGTTTTGCTTTTGGATCCAGCCTTCTTCTTCTTCGAAAAATTTGCAAATTTACGTTTATCGAATCATCTTCTTCTGGCTTAGTGGCTTCGTCAACAAACAAAATTCTTGCTATAGCGGACAGAATTATCGTAGAGTTCAGGAAACACAAAGGMACAMCCAAAAATTGACCGTTTGTTGCGTATTTGGTATAGGGGCATTAACAKGTCTAATTTCTTTCGAAATGGGTAAAAAATTCCGTTATCAACTAACCTGTTTTCCCCGGAATTTGTGTAATCGACGCGGACGATGTCTATTTCCAAAAAGACGGTGCGCAACCTCAAGTTTCATGTCTAAATATAAATACATTGCCTTAAGAGTTTGGCGACTCGTTAATTTCAACAATTTTTGAGTTATTAATCTGAAATATTTCACACGTCAGCTGCTCATTTGTCGGAACCGCCGATATCGCTTCATTAGCACATATAACTGTGATATTAACTGAACGAATATGATCAAATTTACACTTTAAATGAGTAAAAACGRGTTCCACCGTGCAGCAATTTTAGTTTGGGGCACAAGAAAAAAATTATACGAAGCCACATCTGATGAATACGGTGGTTGATCCATGGTATTATTGACCGCCTGTCCCTTCGAAATAAATACATGATGGACCAAACCACGAAGATCGAAAAAATAATGAGCATTAACTTCATTTTTGAGCGGGGTTGTGGTGTTTTTTTTTTTGGTTTCGGCTTGTTTTTCCCTAGATTCCGATGATTGTTGACTTGTTTGCATGTAAAACTCATAAACTCATGCTTCATTGGCAGTTATAATGCTCTCCACGATTGTGAGATCGGAATTCGCACGATCAAACATAACCCTGTTCCCTGTACCCTTAAAAAAAAAATCAGTTCACCGAATTGAGCTAGAACGCGTTTTATACACAAAATATTCATCAAAATCATTCGAACGAACTCGCGAGAGATGTCGAGCTCTGCTGTCATCGCTCTAATACTTGTCTGACGATTTTCAAGCACCGTATCATTAATTTTTTTAAATATTTTTATTAGATGAAGAGGTCGATGGTGGTCCAAAACGTGGCAGGTCTTCAACGATCTCTCGACTGACTTTGAAGGATTTGTAACACTCGTAAGACTTTTCCAACAGTCGCAATGATGCCGCACACGAAATTTTATTAGAAATACGAAATTTGGGACAAATTCTTTGCTTCATACCTTTTATCCATTGTAAAAATCGCAACGCCCTACTGAGATGTACCGACTTAGGCAGCTACTGTAAACAGACTGGTTGAGAGATCACGCTCATATTTAGCATAGTAATTAAGGACATTCCTACCGCCTTGGCGAAATATTTTTTTGAAATATCGTAATATATTATCAAAATATTATAATCATATCGTTTTCTTATTTTGTAATTATTTAACATTAATTGTAAATATGCCTACATATACATTAGAGTGGGTAGATTTTTTATTATAAAATCACGTATGAGGGAAATGTTATATGTAGTTTTCGGAATTTACCGCGGACTGTGGCTCTAAACCGGTTTCGAAGTTTAAAAAAATATTGTATGGGAGATCAATATCATCGGTTATTCAAAAATTGTTCAAATAAAAATTTTGAAAAAATTATGTATTTTATTATACTAAATTATATTAATGCTTACGCAGTTAGATTTGCATTTTTACAAAGCTACTCATTCCTATATACATATGTATATATAAATACGTTAATATAATACTATGTCTATTTCGGGATAAATTTCGTCTATATACAAATATATATATACATATGTACGTACATACATACATATGTCTAGACCGAAATTGAAAACACACCTACACACACAAACAGTTATTGCAAGGTAACAGGGATAAGCCAAGGAGGCGATAATCCTACCTTTATTTGATGAATTTCTAGCAGCTGAAAACGAATGTCTTTCTTCTCAAATCAATGCACTCAAAGAGCGGAACTGATACTTTGCCATTTAATAGCTTCCCGAAAATAGTAAAAACAAAACACATGTTGCTAGAATTGTTGCAGCCACACATACACATGCAACATTGTAACCAAACATAGGCACCTACGACCCACACATACATATGACGCAGCCAAATGCGCTTACCGACATTGAAACAAAAGCAAGCCACACAGCSCTGATTATTTGTGACCTGTGCTGTCTTTCTGCTGCAAGATACCTGCGTCTGACGCCCTTTAACAGCGCCGCCGAGTCAGCACGTTGCACAGTGTTGATCGCGCCACCGTCAGAAAGACATCGAGTTAGTCGAGTTTAAAAATTTTGTTTTCAAAAATAAAATTTTTGTTTTCAAAAACATTAAATTTTTATTTACGTCAACTGCAAAAAATAAACTCAAAGTTTATTTAAAACCAAAAAAGGCCTAAAAAACATTTCTAAATATTTTACAGTGTTTGTGTAGAACCGTGAATTAGTGWATTTTTGTATTTTGAATTTTCAAATTCAGTGTGCGAAGTTAATTGTTGGAGTGGTGGACGTGTGTTCGATTGATCGCGTAAGTTTACTCGCCGCTTTAAGTGGAATTTTATGATGGAACTCCTATCGGGAAGCTCCCCCAGCGTACAACAACAAATGGCAGCCAGTAATAACCCACCGAACGGTAGCAATGGCCAAATGCCAAATGGCCATGCAGAGCGTTTGCTAGCCGACTTTTTCGATGCCTTTCCATCATGGGATATGACCGCCGCTCGTGCTGCCGCTCCGCAATCGATGCAGCATTTAAGTAATGAATTGTAAGTACACATAAGTTAATTCTAACATTTATTTGTCATTATGACGATTTTGTGTTGGAAAAGTAGAAGAAAACATAATTTCACTTTTTCTGCTTTTAAGGAGCACAATTTTAMGGAGTTTCGGTGAAATTMTATTCCCCAAAGAATGTAAGGTAGTTTGACTGTATATCCATTTGTTCACTTCTAAGCCACAACGAATACTAGTCAAAAATTAGACCATAGTCGAGAGAGAGATTTAATCAAAGGCACGAAATAAATACATTTATTTTAATGGATTTTGGGGATATTTCRAAGAACCTCAATTTTTCAAAAAAACAAAAAAAAAATTAAGTAAACATTCAGTATATTCCATTGTTCAGTATTAATACCTAACAATCGATCGGTTTAAGTGGCTGATGCTTGTCATAGAACTCATTCATTGAACAAAAGCACTCATATTTTTACAGTTATTAGATTGAATTGAACCTACAATAAATTACTGTTGTAGAGAGATGCGAGTAATATTATCTAACCTTATCCGTTTTTTTTTGGGCTTGGTATGGTATGATTTTGCAATACCGATCTTATTAGGGTATCAAAACATAATTTTATTAAGATCCTTTAATTATACCCTGGTGTATTAAGTCGGCACGAAAGTTATACTCGTAGCACGGAAAATAAAACATCGGAGGCCTACAAAATATATACTTGTATATAAATGATCAACGTGTCGATTTTGTTGTCTGTCTGTATATACGCGAACTAGTATCTTAGTTTTTGAGATATTGATCCGAAGATGTGCACGTGCCATTTTCTCTCTAAGATGGAACCGCCGATAGCGGACAACTATAGACTATAGTTGCCTTACAAACTAATCGATCCCAATCAAGTCCTTGTATTGAAAACCTTTTTACTTGAACAAATATCTTCGCGAAAATTGCCGTAGGTTATTATCGAGAGAATACAACGCTGTAAGATTTTTTGTTAAGAGCGGGTACCTATAGCATATAGTTGTTATATAAACTGATCGCCATACAGAYATTTTTTATAACTGTTCCTTTTTTAAAAATGCAACTGCGAGCTGCGATAAAATCGAAGTTAACGCTTTTTTCTGATTTTTCTTCAATTGAATTGTCTACAAAGGACAACCGTCCATGATTTCATCTTGCTTTCATGATCAATTTGGTATAGTTTTAAGTGTTACAAATAACAGTTAGATGAACAAAAAATTTATATACTCCATGAAACATGTACCGAGAGTAATAGTAAAGGATCCAAAAAAAAAAATAGTTTTCAAGGTAAAAACGTCTGAACATGATATATAGCCAGATCATGATCTAGTTTTGTGAAAGGGTATTCAACGGAAAATAATTAAGTCACTGATCGCGAGTTAGGTTTAAATTAACATTAGGCATTGAGCATAAATCTGATGAGCTAACGCCAATAATTTCCAAGTAAAATTTAAAGTGAACTACTACTATGAAAACAAGAAATTCCATAATGGAAACAGTATATCTATGAATCACCCACGATTTATTTCAGTCGCTAACTTTGATTATGTTTATTGTTCTCATTTTAGCTCGCCTCCAATCACTGACTACACTTTTAATAACTACTTTGGTGGTGTCGAACAGCCATCAAGTGATTTGGGTAACATTGGAATGCCCAGACCGCCTATAACTCGTCCCAGAAAATTCCCATCTGAGTCGTCTAGCAATTCGAGCATGAATTGCGGTTGGTGCGAAGTAAGTGCTTCCATACGTTGTATTGATTGTAATGAGTTTATGTGCAATAATTGTCTGCAGGAACATCGCAAGAGTCCTGTATTCGCGAATCATGCAATCGTGGCATTACCCACACCGATCGGCACAGCCTCCTCACCCACCAGTGGAGTCTCTAGTGCCACATTAACCGCTGGACCACCAGTAGCGCCGCCGGTAGCACCACCACCATCGCCCAGCTACATTTGCGATCAACATAATGAGATGTTGCGTTACGTTTGCGATTCGTGCAAAAAGTTAGTATGTCAATGTTGTACGCTGCACGAACACAAGGAACACAATTACGCTTCCATAGCGAGTTTCGTCGATGAAGCTAACGACAAGATACAATCGGCCATTGAAAGTAGCCGTACGGGCACCAAGTGCATTAAGAGTAGTATTGATAAGGCATTGACATTTATACGGATGATTGAGCGCAATTGCATCGAACTGAGTGACACTATACGTAAAGCCTTTCGACAATTCATAATTGCCATCGAGGATCGCGAACGTTTCCTCTTGGATTTTGTTGATAAATTGCGTCAACGTCGCTTGGCCACGCTGCACGATCAAATGGCCGGCTTGAAATCGGCACTTTCCGGACTTGCTGAAACTTCCGATATGTTGCAAAAAATTATCGAGAATAGCGGACGCATGGATCATATTGAGATTGCGATGAAGATCGCAAACGGCGAGCGGCAACTTGAACAATTCGCCGCCATATATAAAGATCTTCAGCCAAAACAGGAGATGTTCGGTTTCATTGCGCCGGACTATAATATATTGCAAGATATACGCAATCAAGGTGGAGTTGTGTTGGTGGACGAACAAAATATGCCAATAGTGAACGGTGGTGGCGTACTCGCCGCTGTAGGTGCCGAAATGGGTGCCGTTATGCCGATAACTAATAATCCTAATATGCCAGTGGCCAACGTTGCGATGCCACCGAATATGCGTCGCCCGTTCATTCGTGAGAATAGTTTCCATAGCATTCCATCACCATTGCTACCACCAGTACGTGGTGGCAGTGCATGTGGTTTTCAGAGTACTGGTCTCGAATGGGAGCTCAGCGTTTTGCGTACTTCGCCAAATCTGCATTTTGGTGCACCTCGCAGCACACAGGCCATACCCGGTTCGCTTGAGCATGTAAAGGCACGTAATTCAAATACACTCTCGCTATCGTTTGCCACAGAGGGTCATGACGATGGGCAGGTTAGTCGCCCGTGGGGCCTGTGCGTTGATAAGATGGGTCATGTTTTGATCTCAGATAGACGTAATAATCGCGTACAAGTTTTCAATCCGGATGGCAATTTGAAGTTCAAATTCGGTCGCAAAGGTGTTGGCAATGGCGAATTTGATTTGCCGGCTGGCATTTGTGTCGACATAGATAATCGTATTATTGTTGTCGACAAGGATAATCATCGTGTACAGATTTTTAATGCGGCTGGCATGTATTTGTTGAAATTCGGTAGCTATGGCAAAGAGTATGGACAGTTCCAATATCCATGGGATGTGGCAGTAAATTCKCGTCGTCAAATTGTTGTCACCGATTCGCGTAATCATCGTATACAACAATTCGACTCGGAGGGCCGTTTCATACGACAAATCGTATTCGATAATCACGGTCAGAATAAAGGTATTGCTTCACCGCGTGGTGTATGTTATACGCCAACTGGAAATATTATAGTATCGGACTTTGACAATCACTGTCTCTACCTGATCGACCCAGATATTAATGAGGTATGTTTGGCACATTGTGTATATGTATATGTTTACGTTTTTATATATTTACAAAGTAACTTAAATATGTGTCTTCGTTTCAGATTATATCTGCTAAAGGCCATGAGGGTACTGGCATTCAAGAATTTAATCGCCCTTCTGGTATTTGCTGTGATGACGACGGACGCATTATCGTTGCAGATTCAAAGAATCAACGTATAATCGTTTATAGTCCTAGCTTAGAGTATCTCTGGAGTGTAAGTTGTTGAAAAATTGCATTAATTAATCTTTAATTAGATGTTCGGTAATTTAGAGAATTCCTGTTTTTTGCTCAATCTAGCAACTTATCTTAATTCCATAAATTTTGATTGTATTATCACTTTAGGGGTTACATGGGTTCACTCGGGTAAAACACAACCTGTTTTAAAAAATTGTTTTATGATGCAAAAAATTAAATATTTTATTAAAATCTTTTAACTTTACAAACATACACTATTAACAAAGAAAATCAGAAATTTTTGAAAAAATATTTTAAACTCCGCCATTGCGGCGCCATTTCCGGTGACCCCTCGGAAAAAAGGTACGCCCGCATTGGCAGGAGAACTCCTTACAGGATGATCTAAATTGAGAAAAACGTGTTTTTGTTAAAACCTTAACTTAGAACTTGAAAGGAGAAATAAACTGAAAATTGGATTTTTGGCAGATATTTTTCCAAAAAAAAAAAATAATTTCAACGAAAATTGTATGACTGTTTTTTTAATAAGTGTAATCGAAAAAATCCTTTGTCCACATCTTCAAGAATTGTATATCAAAGACCTGTGTAAGATTGCAGGAAGACGGGTTGTGTAGTTCTCAAAAATCTGTCCAACCGACGTCAAAAACACAATTTTGAGCTAGCTTAGCCTAGCTAGCCTCGGGCGCATAAGTTCTCAATGCTGTATCACCGAAACTATTACTCATAAAATTTAGGAGAATATTCTAGAGGTGTTGTAGAACTAGACTATAAAAAAATTGTTTTGTTTTTTTGAAACCCGTAATCCATGTAACCCCTTAAAGTGAAGTACTTATGTATATGGAAAATGCATATATTATATTTTCCGAAGATATCTATTGCATCGCTATAATATTCGAACATATTGTTAACATTGACCACTATAGCATATAGCGGCACTCTGACTGAAAATATCTATTACCTGTTTTGACTTAAAACATTCAAATTAAAAAAAAAAATTTCCACAGATTGAGATACGTCCATCGGTTAACCCATTGATGCCACAAACTCTCGACGAGAAGGATCGCACGTGTGATGTTGCACTAATGCCCGATGGTCGCATTGTTTTCCTAATCGAATTATCGCCGGATTCCAAAGAAGGCACAAATCCTTATAAAAGATTTGTACACGTTTTTTAATTATAGTTGAAAATCGAACATTTTATTTCTACAATTGTATGCAATGCATATCGATTAACAATTGTCTGTAAGTTCATATAAAATTTGAATTATTTATTTTGTTTTATACACTCTGTTTTTTGTTTTGTTTTTTAATACTATAATTAACTGTAATCAAGTGCATATGTTTGTGTGGTACTTTGGTTATACCTTTTTAAAGAAGACTGACTGCCAAAGCGACTAAGACATGAAATTATAAGCACGCCACTAATACCAATCTCGACAGTGTTTTATGTGAAAATTCACTTGATTGTGTTCATTAGAATTTAAAAGTAACAAAAATTAGAAAAAATATTTAGTCTGTAAGTGCGCGTAAAATATATTATATATTGAAAATTTATAAATAATATTAAAAGAGTATAAATTATATACACAAGAATTAACAAATTGTATTCATATAAACATACATATAACATATATGGTATATGATACATATATACATATAAAAATTACTAAAGTTTAGCAAATTTGCATGTTGATAAATAAGACATATGTATGGATGTAAATTTATACGCGTATGTTTGACAAAAAACGCATTTCTATATTATATACGAGTATAATTACATATACATACATACATACTTACAATATGGTTAATGAGATTTCAAACTTGTGCCAGCATACATATAACCATATGTACATCTATGAAAAGTTCACTATGCAAAGTACGCAAAAATATTTACGAATATTTAAAAACTTAAAAAAAAAACACATCATAGAAACTTCTTGAGTAACAAGCCAAAACTTATTGTTCCTCGATCGATCCAAAAAAATGAAAAAATTTAAACAATTAAAAAAAATTGATGTAAAGCAAAGCGAAAATTTTGAAATTATTACTATAGTATTAATGATAAAAAGAAAATCTTTAGCGAAAATATAGTTGTAATGCATATTATATTATAACATCTAACAGATACATACATACATACAAGCAAATAGTTGTAAGTTAGCGAATTTCAAGCATAAATTAACGATTAACTGTACCTATTGGTTAGTAGGCCAATGAAAATGAGAACGCGAGCGTAATGGGAACGAAAGAAAGCAAAAAAAAAAAAACAATTAAAAACAGTAACATTTACATAATTTGTAATTGGCTGCGGCTGCTGTTCACACCACCAAAAGTCCTTCCAAAAGAGTAAAAACGAAACAAAACCAGCATTAAATGCAGTTAAATTCCATTTACTCACACCTCGAATGCAAATTCATCACTTGCCAGACGGGTGTGCGCCGTGCGAAAATTGTTTTACAAATAATTCACACTCTAAAAGCAAACAAAATGAAAAAAAAGAAAGAAAAGAACACCGTACGACTTTATATTTGCAAAGCGTATATGTATTTATTATTTTTATATGTAAGCGTGTATATGTATAAAGTTTTTCTTTGTCATTTTCTAAGCAGTTGCGCGACTTTGAACATCTCTCCCCATGCAAACAAAGAGGCAACAAAGGAAAAACTAATATGTACATATGTACATAAGTATGTAATTGTGGTAAGCATTAAGAATGTGATCGAAAGTTCAGCATGTTCTTTGAAAGACTTTAAATTAGATGCTAAAACAACAATTACAAATTAAATTATATAATAAATTAAAAATATATGTATGTAAATAGACTATTTTTTGTGATCCCTGGTAATAAGCTGATGGAATTCCACATTTTATAAAACACGTATGGAAAACCAATTAACAAAAACAACAACAATTATAAACAAAACAAATAGCAATAAAAGAAAAGAATTTGCATGCAAAATAACAAAGAAACCGAAAAAACAACACAAAACAATTATTGCAGTTGCATACAAAATATATGGCAAACAAGAGCAAACATGTTAAGCAAACGCCATTGTAATGAGATTTTGAGACAAACAACAATTAATACAGTTGCATACAAAATATTTGGCAAACAAGATCAAACATGTTAAGCAAACGCCATTGTAATGAGATTTTGAGACTGTTGAGTGTATATTTCATATTTATTAAAATTAAAATGCAAGTGTAGTGAGGAAATCATTTAAACAGCGGCGCAAAATTACTAAAGAAATTAAATGCTAAATTTTGGTATAAAAATATTAAAACAGCAAAAGTTAAATAGACATTAAGCAGCAGCAGCAATTAAGTCGCATATTTTTAGGTTATGTACGAGTATTTGCAATTAAAAAGTTTGATTTTTCAAAAAATTGCTTAAGTGTAATGCAACAACAAGCTATTTAAGTACAAGTAGTTATAAAAATAAATGCAAAATTCAAAGCAAAATGATCTCAAATTTAAAATTAACTGTAGCAAAACAAGCAAAAAGGAGTGAGTTGGTAAAATTATTTTAAAATAATTTGTTATGCATTAAATTACAGTGAAATAATTTATATAACTATGACGTTATATTGTAAAGTGAAATATATGTACATATATGCATGTATTTTAAAAAACTATTGCCAACTTGCTCATTAAATATAGAGATAATTTTTGCAATTACATTCGGTTAAACTGCTTTCCATTGCAAAGAACTGATGACTTTGATTTCATAGAATTCCTATATTGCTATTTTTAATTATTAGAAATATTAATTTAACGAAGACTGCCATACCGAAAAACACAGTTTACAGTATAAAAAACTAAGAGCCATTTTAAATTGTTATTAAAAAAGAAAATATATAGTTTACATTTTAGTTTCTGTTTTTTCATTTAATTATCTTAAAAAAAGTTGCAGCCATAGGCTTTTAATCAAAATACTAATTAAAAAAAAAAGTTCAGTAAGAAAACGACAACAGATTTTGTACCATACATTTCTTTGCTGCTAGTTTAACACATTGGCAGCACTGTTTGTATATTTGATTATACATTTTTTTAATTTAAATTTTTGTACACTGATGAATTCATACGGACCTACTGAAATTTACAACTAATGCAAATATATTTGTAAAAAATATATTTACTATTATATTTATTGAACAAAAATATATAAAATGTTTGTAAAAGTAATTCATTTATGCCGAAAACAGTTTTATAAAACTTTAAATTACATGTAAACAAATGCATATATATATATGTATATATTTAAATATATATAAAATTTTGACTTTTGTCATTATATTGTATAAACGCGAAACCATTCTGTTAGTACAAATTGTAGTTTTGAGTAACTGGTATACGGTATTTTACTCTAAATTAATTTCGTTGTATGTAGTAAAATTTATTTTGCCCATTATATACATATGTATGTATTGTGAAAGCAAAATCTAATTTTTTCAACAAGCAGCTGAAACTATTTGAAAGCTAACAAAACAAATATAATAATAAAAGTTAAAAAAAATTAATGGTAATGATAAAAATAACTAAAAAAATTATTATTGTTATTAAAAAAATTTATAATTAT